AAACGTCAGCCTTCCTGCTCCTCTGATGCTGCTTGGCCTGCTGTGTTCATCCAGCTCTACACCTTGTTATCTCTTCCACTAATTGAGTCCACTTGCTACCAATCAGTACCCTTTTCTCATGCAGCATTAATTATCGTTCCCTTTTTGAGATTACAATTCTGTCTTGAGTGCAAAATGAATTCAAAAGCAATTTTTTTCCGGCAATACTCATTCTGTACTACCAAGTAACTGTAAATATTCAGTAACACTAGATGGTAGCATTGAGTTGGTTGGTGAAAAATAAATTCCATATGGATGATCAATATACACCTAAATATTCAAATAACTAGGGTATTGAGCTAGCGTAGATTTTGATATTAAATACTGCTAAAACACATTATTTGACTATGAAATGGCTTCAAATGTTCACTGATACATTTTGATTTTATTGTAACAGAAAATTGATCCTCTTGCAGAATGGTATCAAGTTTTAAGTAGTTTTAAGTTGTGATGTTCGATCCTTAGAAGTTCACGTTAGGATGTAAGTCTATTCATATCAAAATGTGTTTTGAAGTAGAAAGAAACTGCATGAACAAATGAAATTTTCCTCCATATATTCAACTTAATTACGATGATGCATAATTTTTTTTTATTGCTTTCAAAATATTGACTTGCTAGTGCCGAAGAAAAGCTCATATCCACGAGCTTATCAAGTGGTTTACTGAGTCTTAAAGATAGGAATGTTCCGCGTTTAATCCACGGTCCGAAAGTTGATGTCAACTGTGGAGATAGCAGAAGCACTACAATTGATGTTCAGGGCCCATTGTTTATTGCCCAGAGGCTTAAAATATATAAATGTTTGATGATAGCAATGTGTTTGGCTGGAACACTTACAATCAATGCTAAATCAAGGTCTATTGAATGAGACACTAGAGCTAACCAGTGTCCTTGCAACCAGAGCAGAGCAAGAAGAGAGAACATTTCTAAGAGCCTTTTTTTTTCCAACTCAAACCAATGCAATTTCCAAATGTGAATTTGAGTATGTTCTTAGCAGTGATACAGTATGGATTCTCTCTTGGGGCTTTGCAGCATACAAAACTAAATTTTCTTCTCCATTGCTCTAAAGAATAGCTCCACATTGGCCATGTTTGTTCTTTGGTTAGATTATCACTGGGTACTACTCTTACAGCTGGTAATGGGCCCACATATAGCCAGGAATGAGACCGGGTGAAAACTTGAGGCATATGGTGTTGCCAACACACCAGGATTGTCCTGGAATCTTGTTAGCGTATTTTGTTTGTTTACATTTGTTTATTTGTTTAAAAAGTATTGGTGTGTAAGACTGTTCTAAGGGGTTGTTGGGATAGGAGGCATAGTTGGTGGTCTTGTGCCAAAAACTGCATCAGTAGAATTGATAGTCTTACCACTGGTATGTTTGTACACTTAATCCAGAGACTAATAATATGTGAACTTTTGGATTGTTTGCTTTTTTTAAACGGGCTCATTTGGAAGCGCATTTGTCTGAGTCAGAAGGTTGAAGTTCAAGTTGAATGCAAAACATTAAAATTGTCACCGTTGCGTCCTAGAGGTGCTCCAATTTGGATGGAACATTAAACCAAGACCCTCCCTTCGCGGCAGGAAAATTATCACAGTTGCCCTCGCCAATATCCTTCAACATCACAATAGACCTTTTGTCACTCCTTTTTGTATGGCCTTGCTGTGCATAAGTTGCCATATCTCCTTACATTACAATAGGAGTTAATTAGCTGCAAAGTGTTTCAGAAGGCGCTGAATAAAACGCAAGCCTTTTTTCTCTCTTAAACCCCCTCCTCCCCACCCTACACAAACTGTACACTATAGTCACTGCCTGAGACACAATGAAGAGACGGCCCGTCCGAATTGGAGGAAGGAGGCAAGACTTCTTCGGGTACTTTGCCAACTTTGTAATAAATATGTTTGCGTTTGGTCATGTTTTAAATTGCGAGCCGTGGTTTCATGTCCGTGCACGTTCTTGTGTGTGAGAGAGAGAGAAGGCGGATTGTAGGCTTGAGCGTGAGGGCACTTTGGTGACTGAGAGTCATGTCTCTTGTTGCTCGCATGGAGGGGAGCAGCAGTGAGGCGGTACTACTTCGGCGGCGCGGAGGGAGGGTTTCGGGGGGGGGGGGGGTGGGTTTGGCTCGGGCTGGCCTGGGGAGGGGGGGTTGGTGGTGAGGCGGCTGCGCGGAGTGTTGTGGAGCGGCGGCGCGAGGCGAGCTGGCGGAGACGGGGCAGGAACCGCCGGCGGCCCGGCCTGAAGCGAAGGGTCTTCCATCACCCCCTCCCTCCCCCGTCCCTCTCTTACCTTCCCCGCCCCCACACCCTTCCACCACCCCCCACTCGGTTTCCATTACACCCCCAAACCCCTCCTTTAGGCCTTTGTCCACCCCGAGCCGGCAATCCTGGAGATGGAAAGGAAGCGCTTCGAGTGCTCGGCGCTCCCCTCCGGCTGGAAAAGGGAAGAAGTGACTCGAAAGTCAGGCCTGTCGGCGGGGAAGAGCGACGTCTATTATTATAGGTGAGTGTCCGGGGTAGGGGGAAGGAGGCCGCGGCCTATCGCCGGCTTCTAGGGGGAGGAGGTGGCCGCGGCCCAGCTCAACCCGGATCGCTCTCCCCGGGGATGAGAATCCTGGGCCTTCGCTCATTATTACCTGCTAACCTCCCCCCCCCCACCCCGCCGCTCCAAAGCAGCTGCCGCTTTGTGCACATCGTTGTTGTTTTTGGGGGGGGGGGGGGGGGGTGCATTGTGCCTCTCTCAGTCGGAGGCCACGGTGAGTTAGGTTCCACAAAACCTTCAAGTTACTTCGCGCTACCCACCATGTTCTTAATCTTTTACACCCCTAATCTTACGTTTTTATTTGTTATTGTTGCATACAGTCGTTATCTGTGCTACTCTGCAGACTTCCCCGTAATCGTATTCTGTCTTTGATCTGTGTACTTCGTTCCAAAGCGCCCTCAAAAGATATGGACGCTTCCGAAAGAGATTTTCCACTGAGCTATTGGGGGAAAATAGTTAGTGGCTAGTGGTATATTTGCACCACGAAGGATTTTGGCACTGCGGGTGTAGTGGTGAAATAATCCAAATTAAAACTGATGAACTTCTTTGTCCATTTCAGGAATGGAACCAATGAGTAGAACTGAAACACGTGGCTGTCAGGCTTGTTCTGTGTTTGAAGTTAAAACTTTAATTGCAGTCATTTCTATCTACAAAGTAAAACTTACAAAGAAGATCTTAATTCTGTTTATCTCCAAGGTGTTTGCCTCATTTTATCTTGGTAGTTTTGGTAGCATGTGGAATCTGTTCATGCTGCTTTTAAGCTACTGCAAACTGCAGAACCTGAAAGTCATGTAGTGTTTCCTGACAGTAATGGTGTTTTGCAAGCTTCCCTATTTGTGATCTAGAGCAGATTTTTCGCGACTAGGATTCCGCAGATCCACAGGCGGTGAATACTTTGGCAGGGTGGCCACTCTTGAAGTGTGAGTATAGACAGTGAATATTAGTAGACTGACCAAGATATCCAATCAAAACTGCTGAGTAGAATCAGGAAAGGGAATCTTGGTCTTATTTTCTTATTCTTACCACCACCAGAGTTCTGAAGTCAATTCACTCCTAGCACAGGAAAGAACTTTCAACTATTAATGCATAATTGACATCAGTGTTGCATCTTGCCATTTGAAAGGTGATGCCTATGGAACCACACTCCAGAGTAACTCCATTGGGAGTGGATGGACTGCAGTTGCTCTTCCTAGTTCATTAATTGCTTATGGTCTTCACAGGAGTTGCAGAATGGAAGAAATGAACTGAGAGATGTGTATTTGTAGTTACATTTTAGTTAAATGACCAGTTTATTTTTGCGACTTCATTATTTGAAAAGTTTTTTTTGTCATTTATTGGGAAAAAGGCATAGTTTGATGGTACATCTTTAATGCAAACTGATCCTTTTTTAAGAGTTAGTGCACAAATTGAGCAAATATCCATGCCTAGTGTCTCATGTCACTGCTCTGTGAAAGTCACATTGTTTTGCATGTTTACCTTCAACTCCATGGGACTCTTGTTTTCTCTGTGTACCTTGAAAGCATCATTACAATAGGCGTACGTTTGTCACTATGCTTGCACCAAAAATGTTAGGATTTATGAGAACTGTTCAGTTGAGCATGTATGTGCAGAGTTTTCATTGCACTGGGGAGAAGAATTGGAAATAAATAGGAAATCTAAGTACATTATTCCTGTAAAGTTATTTTTAAACTTTTTTTTCGCTGAAACTCAATGCAGGTTAAAACTGCAAGCGTAATTATACATGTAAAGTGAAATATATAGAGCTCAAGAAATAGGAATTCGAATAGCAGATCACCTCTCCATCCTGTTCGACTATTCAATAAAATTATGATTAATCTTTTAATTGACACATTCCAGCACTACCCCCTTTTCCTTAATTCACTTGTATCCAGAAATTTTAATCTCTACCATGCGTATAGACACTGAGCATTCACAGCTTGATTTGGTGAATCATTCCAAAGGTTCATAATCCTTTTGAAGACGTTTCTCCTCATCTCCATCCTGAATGGCTAACCCCTAGCACTGAGACTGTGATTTTTCAGTTCTAGATTCTCCAGCTAGAGGAAGCATCTTCCCAACAACAACTCTACCAGGCCACTTAAGACTTATTTCAATAAGATCATCAGTCACTGTTCTAAACTGTGAAGAGTGTGTGTCTAGTACTTGGTCTCTTCTCAAAGTTCAGTCCCCTCACTGCAAAAGCCAATTGGTGATACTTTGTTGTGATTCTCTCCAAGGCAAATTGTCTACTCTTTAAACTTAATTTGTGTTAACTTTAGATATGTTAAATGTACCAGGTATCACAATCATGGTTTTTTTGTATATAGATTTGCTCTTCGCTTTTATAAGTATGTCATTGTTTGTACAATGCGCATAAATTCAAAGATTATAATTGTAAATATGTCTACCTCTCAATCGTGATAATCTGATTGTGTAACTGAGTTGTTAATTTTAACCCGTTTTGTTGCCAGTAGCTTCAAAGAAGCTCCTATCTTTTGGAAACAATCTCTTTGTTTGCATCTTGTGTATGCTGACAGAAGTGGGACAGCCATGTTAGAACAGGATTTATTTAGCCTACAAATCAAGAATTCATCATGTTATACAGGAGCGTCCTATGCTGTGAAACTTCATATTATACCACAAAAATGTTTTAACAGAATGAAAACAGCTTGAATCAATTTATTCTTAAATCTTGCAGACCTTTTTAAAAATAAATCTTTATATAAATGTTAGGTTACCAACTGAATTTTTAGAGGTGGAGCTGAAAAGAGGGACATTTGCCACTGATTTGAAAAAATTCAAGTAATCCAATGGTGGGACATACACTTGCATGGAGGTGATATAAAATGTCAGTTAATTAATTTGAGGACCTTTCTGCACCATGCATAATAAGTTCAGAAATTGTATCTTATGTTCCCAAGTTGCTAAGTGCACTATATAATGTAAGCTTGAGAAATGGCAAACTTGAGTCTATCAAGCCAGTTTTATATTGTACCATTTACAGGGATTCATAACTTTCACAAACTGGGAAAATTCACATTTACTTTCCACAAATGATGCACGACGAAAACAAGAAAACCCCAGGCATCTCAGTATAGCAAATGTTGAGAGTAACTGCTGAGTCTGGCTATGTTACAGACTGTGAAATGGGTATTATAATCTATTAAATTACACGTTTCAGATTGGTGATCTTTGATAGCACTTGTGCCAGTGAAGCTGTTGAATATTTGAGCGCAAAGCCAATGATACTTCTCAGTTATGTGGGATCAATGTGTCTCTAAAATAAATATTTTTATGAAGAATCTATATATTACTTTTACTCCAGTATTGCTAAGGATGGCCTTCTGCTGTTGGCATAGGTAGAACTGCAGAGTTTCAAGCACAAGATTTGTTATTTATATGTACATCTGAAATCTTTTCTAGGATACTGGATTTTAAGTAAGTTTGTCATGTGTAGTGCCGCATACTGATTGTCATTTCTCTGCAATTCACGCCACTCTAAATTGGCAGATTTTTACAACTACTTTATGAAATTCGTTAATGAAGAAACAGTAGTCAGTGGTGAATATTTCCATGCTGATGTATTTTCCTATAGTTTATATGGTGCCATCACCCATCATTTCAAGACAAAGGACTGATGGAACAGTTTCTACCTTCCTGCTCTTCATATAACTTTGAAATAACTGAATGCATTAATAATTAAATTACTTGTTGTTAGATTTTCAGAATTAAGTCTGGAGGACTTTTATCATAGCTTTCATTTTCCTCAATCTGACATTGAAAATCTATGTTAATGACTTGGATGAAGGGACCGACTGTATTGTAACCAAATTCGCTGGTGATACAAAGATAGGTAAGAAAGCAAGTTCTGAGGAGGATGCAAAGCCTGCAAAGGTTAACTGAGTGGACAAATGTTTGTCAGATGGAGCATAATATAGGAAAATGTAAACTTGTCCATTTTAGCAGTTTGCCTGAAAAGGCAAAATATTATTTAAATGGCAAAAGGCTGCAGGATGCTGCAGTACAAAGGGATCTGGCTTTCTTTCTGGCCAGCAGTAGGAACACTACCAGTGCACCACAGAATCCTTATATTCAGTGCACTTGAACAAAAATCAGAAGTACTGTGTGGTGCGCGAGCAGTTAAGAGGGCAAATGCAACATTGACCTTTGGTGTAAAGGGGTGGAGTATAAAATTAAGTCTCTCGAATCTGTGCAGGGCTTTGGCGAAATGGTATCTGGAGTACTGTGTGCAGTTTTTCTTTGTATACTTGCATTAGAAGCAGTTCAGAAAGGGTTCAGTCAACTGATTCATGGGATGAAGTGTTTGTCATATGAGAAGTTGAGAAGTTTGACCTATGCTCATTGCAATTTAGACTGGGTGATTGAGGGGGTTTGTCAGGATATTTTCCTGTGGGGAAAATTTAGACCAAGTGAGTGCCAATTAAAAATGCGACATTTCCCACTTAATTTTTTTTTCTGAAGGTCATTTAGTATTTGAAATTCTCTCCTACATCAGTCGATGGAGTCTGGGTCATTTGAATATGTTCAAGGCTCAGTTCTATATATAATATGATTTACAAGGAAGCCTAGGGTTATAGGATATGTGATTTACATTTTGAGGTGTATTTTTTTCAAGAGCTAGATTGTTGTTGTCTTTGGGGCGACCCCCTCCAAAACGTTGTCTTGCAATACCAATATTTTCTCCTAAACTCCAGATTCCACTTCCAAGATACTATCAGACTTCAAGGCAATTTGAGCTGTTAAAGCTCAGGACCTTGTATCTGTTGATTGCAAATTCTAAACATTTTGTGTGTGAAATTACAGACAAAAGTTTGTTTTAAATCAGTTAGGACTAATTTGTTTCATTTGAAAATTGCTTCCCTATTTTATCCTGCCACACTGGTGGAAGTTTACTGAAGCTGTGGTAGACAGGTGAGGTAGTGTACTGTTGAAAATTTAAGGCCCTGCCACTCTGATCTGCATATGAAAATCTCATCTTTTCAGATTTTAAATTTATGTTGTGTAGAAGCCCAAATGTTCCGTGCTGTAACTCTGATCAACTATGATCGTAAATGCCCTTACAGATGATTGAAAGTAGTATTTTTGGGAAGGACACAGTTCAACTCTACATGTTTATTAGCATCTTTGTCATCTATTATTAGACCAATCCCTTGCTGTCTAAAGTGCTATCGTTTTGAAGTTCTGCAGTTATCTCTGAAGATGATGGGGGTGGGAAGAATTCAAAATGCTTAGTTATGTTCCATTTCCATCCCCTATTTTAAATTGTGTTTTTCCCCTCTTGTTTAGGTTGCCTGTCCATCACGCACCATTCCCTGGCCAAGAAGAGAGGCAGGTGATCTGCAACCAGGCCTCTGCCAATGTAGCTCTTGAGCTGTCCACTAGGAGGTGCGTGAGAGTCCTTTTCTTCCCCATGGGGAAGTGTGCGACACCTTCTCCTTCTCTAGCGTGATTGAGATCAGGAGATTGGTATGTGGGGATCATGGGTCCAAACGACTAACACTGTAGAAGTTCTAGAATTTCAGGGACTGTGTAAATGTTGTTACAAATTTCATTTTCTTGTTTTGTTTTTAATCTTTGTTATTTTCCCTTGAAGTCTCCCTGCACAGTTCACCTTTTTTTGGCTAAAAAATGCTGTGGCATCTGCTTCCAGGCCTCTCCCAATGCTGCTGTATAACCAGCTGCTTAGAGGTGCATGAGAATAGTGCAAAAATGGCACTTTTTTTTTTCCTCTTCACTTCCCTTTGGTGAAGATCCTGGTCATTATTTTGTATGACTGTGATCAGCACCTTGTTTAATGGAAAGTTCAGTACCCAAAATTTCCTACTTGTGCCACATGAGAGTGGATTCTACATGGTTTCTTGGATTATTGTGACTAATCCTTAAGTTAAAATTGAAAAGTAAATAAAAATATAACAATGCTATTAGATCAGCAAGTGGTTCTCATATTAGGTTGTCTGATGATAACCATCATGCTACATATAGATATTTTGGTAGCATGTCTAAAATTTCTGTACTTGTTATATCCCAAATTATCAGTAGGTTTTAGTTAACAAAAGTTAAATCTTAGCTTTCAATGCCATTGTTGCATTGTTTTATATAATGCATTAAGAAACACTTCAATTTTTGTTTGCATTACTTTTAGCCCAAGTGGAAAGAAGTTCAGAAGCAAGCCACAGCTTGCGCGTTACCTGGGAAATTCAATGGATCTGAGCAGTTTCGATTTCCGAACAGGGAAGATGCTGATTAGCAAACTGAACAAGAACAGACAGAGACTGCGCTTCGACTCTGCCAACCAGGTCAAGGTATTTAAGATTTTGACATTTTCACCAGTTACTTGTATTCCACACTGATTTGGAGAGTGGTCTGTGATTCTGACTTTATTAACTCAATTGGCTTTTACAAATCTAAGAATGGAAGCAAAATAGACGCCATCCTGTTATGTCAGTGCAGACTCAACTAGTTATGCATATTCTTCAGACTAGAGATGGTGAAATTTCTCTGTAGACCTGAGTGAAAGCCTTGGAGACCTGCTTACAGGCCTGTATTGAAATTGAATGTACAACCAGTTGTTCGCAGATGTGAGAGGATAAGCTGAGACATGAATATTTTTGCTTCCTTATTTTGGGTGACACATCTGGCCATCACTTGGTATGGTTTAAAATTGGCAACTTGCTGGTTTTTTAGAATCGGACATCTTCAATCATGTGTAATCTATTGTTGCTGGTGGAAATGCTTGGGGAAACTGTAAGTATCAGCAATGACTTACATTAAGATAATGATTTCAATTTCCTAATTGTGCTTGTTCTGTTCTTCGTGAATTACATTTCCTTCAACCAAAATGGTTGATTTATTGCAGCATAGTCAACAATGATGCATCCTTGTTCCTCCTTGTTTTCTATAACCACTTGTCTATTTGGATACTTCAGCTGATAACATAATGCTCAAAATTTCAAAGGAAATTTAATTTATTGTCCTGAAATAATTAGTTGAGCTCACATTAGAAACAGTTACTTGGCAACATAAAGGGTGACCCGTTATGAAAAGTAGATAAGCATCTTCATTTTCTTGAGGGAATACTTCACATGTATAAGTAAGTCAAAGCGCAATCATGCAATTTTCTTAGGTCAAGAAGAGACACACTTAGAATGGAGGCACTTTGACATTGAACATTATAGTAACTAACATTCTAATTGTATGCTGTCTTCAGTGGGCAATTAGGGACATAGTGTCTATATTTGATTGGTACAGCATGATTACATTGTCAACACAGGTTACAACATATGGATGATGGATGGCCATAGAATCACAGACTCCCTACAGTGTGGAAGTAGGCCATCAAGTCCACACTGACCCTCTGAAGAACAATCCGTCTCGACCTACCCTCTATCCTATCCCTGTAACCCTGCATTTCGCATGGCTAATCCACCCAGCCTGCACATCCCTGGACATAATGGACAATTTAGCATGGCCAATCCACCTACCTTGCACTTCTTTGCACAGTGGGAGGAAACCAGAGCACCCAGAAGAAGCCCCCACACACATTCCACAAGAGAATCGCCCAAGGGTGGAATCAAACCCAGGAGCCTGGTGCTGCAAGGCAGCAGTCCTAACTGCTGAAACACCGTGCTGTCTCGAAGGAAAGGGTGGCAGGAAAGGAAATGTTACAAGAAGACTTTGTACATTTAGAACATAGAACAGTACAGCACAGTACAGGCCCTTCGGCCCACGATGTTGTGCCGAACTTTTACCCGAAACCTAAGGTCTATCTAACCTCCACCACTACCTTTATACTATCATCCATGTGCCTATCTAATAGCCGCTTAAATGCCCCTAATGAGGCCGACTCCACTACCCTCTCCGGTAATGCATTCCACGCCCCTACCACTCTGAGTAAAGAACCTACCTCTGACGTCTCCCCGATATCTACCTCCTTTCACTTTAAAACTATGACCCCTCGTAAAAGCTACCTCCACCCTAGGAAAAAGTCTCTGGTTGTCTACTCTATCTATAACCTCTGATCGTTTTGTACACCTCTATCAAGTCACCTCTCATCCTTTGTCGTTCTAAAGAGAAAAGTCCTAGCTGTCTCAACCTTTCCTCCATTCCAGGCAACATCTTGGTAAATCTCCTCCGCACCTTTTCCCACGTTTCCACATCTTTCCTGTAATGAGGTGACCAGAACTGGACACAATACTCCAGATGTAGCCGAACCAGGCTTTTGTATAGCTGGAGCATAACTTCACAGCTCTTGAACTCAATCCCTCTATTAATGAAAGCTAACACACCATACGCCTTCTTAACAACTCTATGCACCTGGGTGGCAGCTTTCAGGGAACTGTGAACATGAACCCCAAGATCCCTCTGCACCTCCACACTGCCAAGAATCTTTCCGTTGACCCTGTATTCTGCTTTCAAGTTTGTCCTTCCAAAATGAATCACCTCACACTTTTCGGGGTTAAACTCCATCTGCCACTTCTCTGCCCAGCTCTGCATTCTATCAATGTCCCTTTGTAACCTAGAACAGCCCTCCGCACTGTCCACAACGTGACCCACCTTCGTATCGTCCGCGAACTTGCTATTCCACCCTTCCACTCCTTCATCCAAATCATTTACAAAAATCACAAATAGAAGAGGACCCAGAACAGATCCTGGTGGTACACCACTCGGAACTGAGCACCATGTTGAATATTTTCAACCACTACCACCCTTTGTCTTCTAAGGGTCAGCCAATTCTGAATCCAATCTGCCACATTTCCCCCTATCCCATGCCTCCTTACCTTCTGCATGAGCCTACCATGGGGAACCTTATCAAACGCCTTACTTAAATCCATGTATACCACATCCACTGCTCCACGTGTTTGGTCACCTCTTCAAAGAATTCAGTAAGATTTGTGAAGCATGATCTACCCCTCACAAATCCATGCTGACTATCACGAATCAAACTGTGTCTTTCCAAGTGTTCATAAATCCTGTCTCTCAGAGCCCTTTTTCCAATAATTTTCCCACCACTGACGTAAGCTAACTGGTCTGTAATTTCCAGGGTTAGCCCAGTCCTCTCTTTTTGAACAAGGGAATGACGTTTGTCACTTTCCAATCTTCCGGCACTATACCCGTGGTCAGTGAGGACGAAAAGATCATCGTCAGAGGCCCTGCGATCTCGGCCCTCGCTTCCCACCATGGAATCCTTGGATAAATCCCATCAGGCCCGGGGGACTTATCTATCTTCAACTTCCTCAGAATTCCTAGCACATCTTCTTTACTAAATCAACCTCCTCTAGCCTACCTGCCTGTTTCACAACGTCCTCCTCTACAACTAGGTCCCTCTCAGTTGTGAATACTGAAGAAAAGTATTCATTAAGGACCTCCTATCTCTTTAGGCTCTGTGCACAAATTCCCTTTACAATCCTTGATCGGCCTTACCCTTTCTCTGGTCATTCTCTTGTTCTGCACATACATGTAAAAAGCCTTGGAGTTTTCCTTAATCCTAACCGCCAATGTTTTCTCATGCCCCCTTATAGCTCTCCTAAGCCCTTTCTTCAGCACCTTCCTGGCTAACTTGTATCCCTCTAGAGCCTTTTCCGTTCCTTTTTTCCTAAACCTTACATAAACCTCCTTCCTCTTAACCAGTCGTTCCACCTCTCGAGAGCCATGGCTCCCTCACTCGACCGCGTCTTCTCTGCCTGCTAGGGACAAACCTATCAAGCACATGCACTATGCATTCCTTAAACAATCTCCACATTTCTGTGGTGCTCTTCCTTGACAGCATCTGTTCCCAATTTATGTTACCCAGTTCTTGCCTAACTGAATTGTAATTACCCTTCCCCCAATTATAAACTTTACCCTGCCATATGTACCTATCCTTATCCATGACTATCGTGAAAGAAACAAAGTTATGATCACTACCGCCAAAATGCTCTCCTACCAACAGGTCTAACACTTGGCCCGTTTCGTTGCCAAGCACCAAATCTAAAGTGGCCTCTCCTCGTGTTGTTCTATCTACATACTGTGTCAGGAATCCACGCACTGGACAAAATCTGCTCCATCTAAACTATTACAACTAAAATGTTTCCAATCAATATTTGGAAAGTTGAAGTCACGCATGACTACAACCCTGTGACTTCTGCACCTTTCCAGTATCTGCGTCCCAATCCGCTCCTCTACCTCTTTGCAACTATTAGGGGGTCTGTTTTTAAAAAAAAAAACCCCAACAAAGTGACTGCTCCTTTCTTGTAATAACAAGGTGTAGAGCTGGATCTTGTTCTTGACCTCAACCCAAACTGACTCTGTAGACATAATCTTGCATAACACATTCTAGATGTTTACGTTCACAAATTTAAGTTTTGTTGCTCTTCCATTGGAAAGTTGAAACTATTTCATTGTGTAATATTCAATTTCTGACACAAATTTATAGGACAGAGTGGTTTGTGTAACAATGTTTCAGTTGATAGTCCTGCAAGCCATCATTTTCCTTTTGTGTTTGCTGTACTTCTCTATCGCTGCATCATGTTGATGACTGCCAGGAGGTATTTGAAGGTGAAAGACATTGTACCTGAGCTTGATTCTGTCTGCCTATGTGTATCTTTCAGAGGAGGGTGCTAGAAGGAATTGGTGGCTGAAGTGTTTTTAAAAAAAAAATAATAATTGCGGAGTAGAACTGACAGATCAATAAAGAAAATAGATAAACTAGCTTGACACCCCCATTAACTTGGTGGGGCAATGGACTTTCTCTACACCATTGAATTCTACGGCACTCAACATGAAATCATTATCTAGTAAAGCTGCTGAAACTCTTCACCCCATATATGCTGAATCATTTTATCATAATACTGTGTTATTATGTCTCGAAGTTTTTAATCTTGTATTTTATATGTTAAATCTGAATGTTTAAAATGTAAAATTAGTTTCTGCATTCTGATGAATTTGTTTAGTATCATGCCATTTATAAAGTTGATGCTAATTGCTCAGTTATATTATCCATACTCATGAACTAATTTACTTTTACAGGGCAAACCAGATCTGAACACTTCACTTCCTGTTAGACAGACAGCTTCAATCTTCAAACAACCAGTTACTAAAGTGACCAACCACCCCAACAACAAAGTAAAAATGGATCCACAGAAAGCTGTAGAACAGCCACGGCAGGTAATGATGTTTAATATTGTATTTGCAGATCAGTGCAAATTTTCTGTTTGGCTTTTCTTTGATTTTTATTAATATGTAATTACTGTTGTTTCTGTTTTTCCCTTCTTTGCCCTTCCTGAAGGGATTGATGCTTGCAGAGGTATTGTTTTAATAGCATCAACAGCATTCTGGCAGCCTGCCACTTTGAGACCTTGCCGTGTGCAAATCAAGAGTACTAGCTTATTTGAGCAAGCAGAGGGCATTGCTTCTAAGTTTAATCCTGTCTTCAATCAACCTCTGCATACACATGCTTTTCAGCAAGCATGTTGAATAGTAATGATCTATATGGTTTATTATTGCCACATGCTATCCATTTGCTGATGCTTTTAAGCCATTGGGGAAGCTCATGTTTTTAAATGCTTCCCATTTTGTCTGCGAGTTCAACTCCATTTGGGTCAAATTAAATGGCTTTTAGTTTTTAATGTTTTTAATTAAAATGCTTCAAAAAAATCTTTGTAGCAAATTTTGAAAACTTGTTTTTTTTTCAGCTCTTGCTTTTAAAATATATATTCTTCCATAACACTCTAGTTATTCTGGGAGAAGAAGCTGACTGGATTGAATGCCTTTGATATTGCTGAAGAAATCATAAAGACTATGGATCTACCTAAAGGTCTACAAGGTGAACTTGAATTTGAGATATATTGCTTACTTTGATATTAGGATCAGGAGAAGATGCTTGAAAATTTTATGGAATTAATTCACTTATTATTTGCAGATGGTTGTTCCCTTAATTGTTTTTGGCTTTTGTAGTGAAGTTGAACAATATTCTAAGTTTAGAGCTTTGTACAATTACACATTTTCTTTCCTACTGTGTTGAACTAGTTTTCAGTCTAAAACCTTGTTTTCCTACCCTCTCCTGTGCTTTAGAAGCTTGCGTTATTCTCCCAAATCCCATGTATTTTAGCCCAATTGGAACTGTTGTTCGTAGCACAGAGAACCCTGCAGACCTATTTCCTCCTCCTACCCGATGACTGCAAAAATCTCAACTACATGACCTGACCTGATGAGCGGACAGGGAAACAGTAACATCCTGATAGTTTGCTGACCCTTGGCCTCAATCCTTTTCCTACCCCTACCTGTTAAAGCAGTTGGACAAAGTGTCATTGTGAAATAATCAAGCTGGTTCAACCTAGAGCTGAAGTAATTTTAGCAGCTTTCCTGTATTAGTATTCCCCTATGCTTCAGTGATCAAAAATGAAAGCAGATTTAAAAGTATGGCTTGACCGGAGCATATAACTTTAATCTTCACTTATATTGTTCCCTATTGAAAGGTAATGTCATCTCTTTCAAAAACATGGTTGCTCCCACTAAAAATGAAAGTGACAAACCCTTGACCCATCACTAGCCTTCTTTTCCTCCAACATTGACAAAATCAAAAACTGCAGGATTGCAGCATATATTTGGCTGTTCTGGCAACAGGTCTTCAATCTGAAAAGTTCGCATTTTCCACCGATGTAGTCAAGCTTGAGCATTTCAAGCATTTTCTGCTCCTATTCCTTGCATGTATTGTTGAACAGACTTTTATGTGGTATTTTTGACAACTACTGGATATTTAACAGCGGTTTACAATTAACAAAGCACTTTTTGAACTACAGTCGCTATTGAGCAGGAGGCGATGGCCTAGTGGTATTATCACTGGACTGTTAATCCAGAGACCCACATAATGTTCTGGGGATCAGGGATCGAACCCCACCATGGCAGATGGTGGAATTTGAATTCAGTAAATAACTGGAATTAACAATCTAATGATGACCATGAATCCCTTGTAGATTGTCAGGGAAAACCCATCTGGTTCACTAATGTCCTTTAGGGAAGGAAACTGCCATCCTTACCTGGTCTGGCCTACGTGTGACTCCAGACCCACAGCAATGTGGTTGACTCTTAACTGCCCTGTGGGCAGTTAGGGATGGGCGGTAAATGCTGCTTAGCCAGCGATGCCCTTGTCCCGTGAATGAATAAAGGGAAAAAAAAAATTCTATTAATTTCTAAAAGCCAGCTCCCACAGACAGCAACGTAATACTTACTGCCTGAATGATTTCCCTACAGTAGTTCAGATTAGTTTCAGGGAATCTCTTTGCCCTTTTGGAGCAGGTAGACAGGGCCTCACTTTAGCAGGTCATTCAAAAGACAAGATTTCATACAGTGCAGTCATTCTTTAGTGTTGCATTGATTGTCAACTTTGATTTTCATGCTTGAGTCTTGGAGTAAGACTTCAACTCTCAGATGTAAGTCCTATCAACTGAGACATGGCCTACTTAAACCTATACCATTCTTTTCCACTGGTACCTTTGTTTGAATCTTTCAGATTTAGCTTTCCACCAAGAGCACAGCATCAAAGTCAGAAATATCAACCTAGGGCTGTGGCAATAGTATGTTTTTTTTTGTATTCCTCAATCTCTATTGACCCTGTGAACATTCACCTCCAGCGCATCTCCATTCTCCAGCTCACTTCGTCTGCCTTTTGATTCCACTGCCACTTATTGATTAGCACCTCCAACAGTGAATTGTCATCTTGCTTTTATACTGGTAACTCCAGTGTCTCCTCATAGGATATATTTATGGCTTCTTGCCTTTGCCTCATTTACACGCTTTTCCTTGCTGCTGTTATCAGCTTCCATATTGACAGCAGCTCTATTTCTCTGGCACTATTTCTGACCCTTCCACAATCTCTTGTGACTACTTGTCTGGTATTGTCTTGTTTGAGTCGTGGGCTTCTCCAGCTGACTCATTGTTTCTCTCCACACTTATTATCTTGCTGCGGTTTTACCACACTGTTTGCAATCTATTTGTCTCTTGAGTTAAGTTTCTGATTTTGTTTTCTTCAACACAGAAGCTCCTTAATTTCTAAGTCTGTAAAATAGACCATCCTGGTCAACCTTCTGTAAGCTGATTCAAACATTTGCTGTCAGTATTTCAGCTTGCTCACAGAGCACCTTGTTGCATTGACAGTTGGCTCCTGCAGCGCCTGAGATTTAAATTTCTCATCCTCCGTTCCTATGGCTTTGTCCTATGTAGGAACATAGAATTTAGGAGCAGCAGTAGGTCATTTGGCTGATGAGACCCCCCTCCTTCCGTCAGCATGATCAGACATCTGCTTTATCGCAATGCTACACCCAACTCTCTCCATACACCCTTAGATTTGCAGACAATAAGGGCATCAATCTGTCTTAAATATATTCAATGACTTGGCCTCTGTAGCCTAATGTGGCTGGGAATTCCACAGGTTTGCCACGCTCTTGAGTGAGTAAATTTCTCTTCATTTCAGTCTTAAATGGCCTAGCCCGTGTCCTGGAATCATGACCCCCCCCCTACTCCTTATTCAAGAGACGCTAATCAGGGGAAATATCATCCCTGCATTCAGTCCGTCAGGCATTTCTTTGTTTCAATGAATTCCATACTCATGCTTCTAGACTTTAGTTTAGGTCCTGTTGACACAATCTCTCCATACACACCAATCCTGCCATCCCAGTCTAGTGAACATTTGCTGGACTTCTCACCACCTTTTTTGGTGCACTCCCTCTATGGCAGGTATTTTCTTTCTTAGGCTAGGACACCAGTTACACACACTGCTCCCAGGTGTGATCTCACCAAAGTATTTACAGTTGCAGTAAGGCCTCCTGCCTCCTGCACTGAAATCCTTCTGCAGTAAAGACTAACTTACCCTTTGCCTTCTTTAACTGCTTGTTCAACCTGCGTGCTTGCTTTCGGTGACTGGTATACAACAACATCCAGGTTCATTTTGTACATCAACATTTCTCCATCTATCACTGTTTAAATAATATTCTGATATTCTGTTTTTCCTACCAAAGTGCTTCACACTTATCCATGTTGTACTATGTCTATCCTGTACTTTTCCATTCATTCAACTGTTCTAAAGCACCTTGATCCCTCTGCATCACCCTCAACATACTCCTCATTTAGTTCTGTGATCTTTAGCAAATTTGCAAATATTACATTTAATTCCCTGATCCAAATCATTGATCTGTATTTGAGTAACTGGGACCTACGCATTTCCTTGCATCGCCTTCCACCGCAAAAAACACCTGTTTATTGCTACTTTTTCCTGTCTACTAACCAGTTCTCAATCCATCACCAGTATATCTAACACTGCCCCCCCCCCCACCAACAATTCTGTGCTTTAATTTTGCACACTAACCTCTTGCATGTAAATTGATCAAAAGTCTTCTAGTTTAAAAAAAAATCCTAATTCACCATGTCCAGTAGTTCTGCCTTTATCTATTGTACAGTTGCATTCTCAAAAAAATTCTAGTCGGTTTGTCAAATTTTCTTTCCTTTTAGTAAGTCCATGTTTACTTGATCTAATCCCGTTGAGGTGTCCTGTTGTTGCATTTTTTATAATAGACATCCTGCTTTACCTCTAACCTTTTTCCTGCTGTACGGTCTACAACCACTACTTAAATTCTGAAATATTATGCATCCTCCATTCTGGTTACTTCACCATTTACTGCCTGTTTGCTGTCTAGATCTGCATTCTAAATTTAGCTTCTTTTAATCTCCTCACCAACTTTATAAGATCCTCATTAGAACACACACATTCATTAATCTTATTGACTATCTTATTAGGATCAAATTTTTAAGTGTGTGTGTATGCAGTGTCCTGTGACGTTGGCCACATTGAAGACATTCTGTAATTTAGAAGACAGATTCTTGATAATAAACAAGGATCAGAGGTCGGACAGGAATGTGGAAATGAGACCACAACCAGATCAACCATAATATTTTTGGGAAGCAGGTTCAAAGGGCCAATTGGCCTGTTCCTACTCCTGAACCCCATGTTTTTAAATGCAAATGAATTTATTGTTAAACTATACTGACTGAATGGCCTCCTGGTTATATCATTCTGTGATTCTGTTTTGTGTTGTTGGCTGTTACTCTGCAATGACTGGACAAGACAGAGATGAGAATGTTACCACTTTTCTTCACTTGATCTTTCCTGTAACTGGTTTGATGCCATTGATTAAATGCAAGTACCCCACCTCATTTTTTCTCTTTTGTTAGTATGAATTTGTACTTGCCAATGCTGAATTAAATCTGACATGAATGGTATGCCCACCATTGCATCTTGTCAAATTCATTGCATTAATTCTCGCAGCCTTCGTTAGACTCAGTTCCCATGTTTATGATCTGTTACACAGTTTACCCTGAACTTTGATTATGTTTTCAGATCAGAGCTTGAAATGAGTCCAGCTCTAGTCCAAGGGGTTTGTAGTCCCTGCATGTCATCCATCTTTTGGTTCCCAAACTACTATCCACTATTTTACAGTTCCTCATCTATTGCCATGTTTCATCCATGCCTTAAGCTTGTGCAGCCTACTTGGGCCTGGAAACACTATCATCAGCTTTCTAGAGATACAGAACATCTATATCAGTATTTCCCTATCTAATTAAGATGTCACATTCTCAACAAAACACTTTAGAGTTACAAGTGATCTTTTTGCATATTAACCCAAATCTGCTGACCTGGGTCAGGATCCCTATTTCTGATGCAGAGCAGACAGAAAAGTTGCATACTTACTTTCGTATTTTGGGTCCTACAGAACTGTTGGAGTTGGGTTGGGTAATGGAGGGATCAGTTGCCAAGGGATGTTTAAGGTGAACTGGATGGAAGGGCAGGTAGGTTGGGGGCTCAGTTGATGGGTGCAAAGTGGGTCAGGGTGCTTGGGTGATGTGGAGTTTGGTTTAGGGTAGATGAGGGGTCGTTGGCACTTCTTTGTTTTTGAATTTTTGAAGTCATCTAAACTAGAATATCACTTAAGTAGGTATCATACAACCTTTTAAAAGGGAATTCATGAGCAAATTGTGATTAGTAATAGAAATTTGCATATTTTCTTTTACAGGCGTGGGGCCAGGATGCACAGATGAAACTTTGTTGTCTGCTATAGCGAGTGCTTTACACACTAGTTCCAATCCTATTACTGGACAACTCTCTGCAGCAGTAGAAAAGAATCCTGGTGTATGGCTGAATACCTCCCAACCTCTCTGCAAAGCTTTCATGGTCACTGATGAGGACATTAGGTAGGAGCATTAATTATACTGGCTTCTTAGCATTACTTGAGCTACGCTGTTAAACTAGAAGTGTTGTGAACTGTAACAGCATTTGAATATTTGCTGTTAGTTTGGAAATTAATTTTTCTTTGTTTTGTTTGGCAGTAAGCAGAAACCAGGATCCCGTTGAAGGCAAAATTTAATATTTCATTTGGAATCTAATAAATTTAAACCTGAAGGCATTGTGATTAAGTTCTGAAGAATGGTCACTGGACCTTGAAAAGTTAACTGTTTTCTCTCCACAGATGCCAGATCTGAGTTTTTCCAGGAATTTCTGTTTTTGGGCATTGATTATTTCTGGTTGCTACATCGGGAGGTCATGTCTTCAGTTATAAATGTATTGGTTAGCTCCCACTGGGCATCAAGTAGGCAAAATAATAGCTCCAAATGGGAAATATTTTTCATTCGTCTAAATTGTTTAGTTCTAGCTCATGATGCTCTTTCAGATACAGGAGTATCTTCAGCATTTAACTTTGATTTAAAATCAAATTATGTTTGGATTTTTGCTGTTACCTCAGTTTTTCATACTTTACAGTCTGAATCATTGGAAGATGACCTGCTTCATGCAAGTATTGACACTATTAACATTAGTTTGGCATGCAGAATTGATTAAAATGCAAGTTTGTGGCATACTGACTTTCAATACTTTGGGGTTGTTTGTTTTCTTGGATTCTAGGACCCTCGACACACTAATTCAGTCTACTGTGTATAGTCATTACTTTGTAGAGTAGAGATTGAAGATTTTGCTAACCATTCCACAGCTGAACTATAAGTCCTATTCATTCACTTGCCAAAATTTCCAGATTTAGTTGCAAACACAGCAATACTTTTGAAAATTCAATGGCGATAGTTGCTGAGTTCTTTTGCTAGGAGCATTGTCTTTCATTTTTCCCTACACAGTCATCTCCCAGCATAACAAATCTTACAAGTTTGATTTGCTGTTGCTGATCTGTGAAAGCAAAAATTACATACTTTATAGGATCATCTTGATTTGAATATTACATATTCTTCACATGTGACACAAGTACACGTCCTTCTTCACAGAATGTTTGTTTTTTGTGCCATGAGTGATTGGAGATGAATAGTGAGTTGAAATGCCCAAAGAGCAGGAAGGAGATGCTGCTTCCTGAGCAAGTTGACTGCTAGAAATTTCTAGTCATTACTAGGATCAAAACTTAACTCCTCAATTCCTGGAAAGTGGCACTCCTTACATTCTATGAAATTCCAGCCAGGCCAACACAAAGGACTAGTAGATGGGGTATCTGGCACAGTCTGTTCTCAACAGAGTTCCTAAACCCATTATTGCTTGATTTTTGTGGAATGTCTCTGCAGTTAGTTGCTACAAAATGTAATGATTTTTGATGACACTTCAAATCCAGCGTATAGCTGTTTGTCTCAACCAGAAGCCCCAAGATCAAGACTGAAACTGCTGATTTGTCTGCATTGCCTTTTATAATATTGCTCTGACTTTTGTCACTCTGCTTGCAACACCAGAAGAGTAAGCAGCACCAGGCTTGGCCAAATACCTGTCTCTTGATCTTTATATTTCTGAAAAGCCTGGTTTCTTGAAAGTAACCAATGTATTGCCTACAAAGTGAATCAGTTCCCAAGTTTCATTTATTATATCTTCATCAGCAATTTGACGGACTGAGTTCCTGTGAAAGAGACTTGTATGTACAGCTAACTGAAAGAACTTTAACTGACTATTAGCTTACTGATCTCTAATTCATGTGAACTGATTTTGATCTCGTCTTTTGATTTTAGGTAATTTGTAACTTCACTCACTGCTTTTCTCTTTCTTTTCTTTGGATGCTTGTGTATGTGTGTCACAGACCATTTCCCTGGATTTTGACTATAGTAATAAACCGTACTTAATCCTAAAGAATTTGCTGTGGGGCATTTTCACAAACTAGCAAGCAGCACTTACTCAACAATAACCTGTTCAGTGGGCTTGAGAAAAACCAGCTTGGTCTCTTTCAAGCCCACTGAGTTTCTTACCTCATTACATCCTTGGCCGAAGCATGGTCAGAAATGGTGAAGTTGAGAGTAGGAAGTGAAGATGACTGCTCTTGACATTAAGGCAGCAATTGACTTGAGTGTAGTATCAAGGCAACCCAGAAAATCTGGCCCATAGAAACCAGGGGGAAAGTCTTTGCTAGTTGCCGTCCTATCTGGCAGAAAGAGAATGATATGCCTATTGGTGGTCAGTCATCTCAGCCATAGATGTCACTAAAAGACCTCAGTAGAATCCTGGCTCACCCATTTTATAGCTGCTTCACAGATGACTTTCCCTCCTTCATAAGGTCAGAAATGGGAATGTGATTGTGCTGTTTTGCACCATATGACAAAAGAAGCAATAGTTTGCACTACTCCTGTAGCAGCAAATCAATTCCCTATTTGGATTATTGGTGACAACTTGAAATTAAATTGCCCTTACCATTTGCACTTTGTGAAAAGGTTAGTATTTGAGCGCTTTGTTACCTGTTCATTCAAACTTCCACATTCTTTCATTGAATGTATATGTGATCATTGCACTTTTTTAAATTGCATTTGGCACCTATTTACCCATTCCACAAGCCAAATGTATTGATATTTCTTGCAATCTCTGTTTGTTAACTTTCTTAGTTTTGTCAGATGTATTTGGGCTCCTTTATAACCAACTGTCGTCTATGTGAACGGAGAGCAAAAGTTAACCCCTCAAGTAAACCACTTCCTTGATTGAGCAACATTAAAAATTTATCTAGCATTTTATGACTGAGAGTCAGAGAACACTCTCAGTTCAAAGTGTCAACTTTGTTTCTCTCTGCACCAATCCTCCCAGATGTGCTGAGTTTCTCCAGCACTTTGTATATACATGGCATCATATATTTTCTCTATATTGAGTCATGATATTCAGTCTTTAAGCTTAAGTGACATTAACATCTGTTTTGAACTAATTTGAACTTGAATTATGGCTTCAAAAGAGTGCCTGTACCAACATTAGAGTAACCAGTTTATAGTTTCTTGGCTTATCTCTTTTTTATTGGACAAGAATGTTGCATTGGCTAACTTCCTGTTCCTAATACAATTCATACAGTTGAGCTTTTCTAAAAATTTGCGGCTAATATTTGCCATCTCTTCTGATTTTTTTCGACACATGAGGGTATATGCTCACAGGTAGCCTATCCACTAATGTTTTCTTTAATTAGAACTGATACCTATTCTGTCAACTTTTTAAAAATTTATTCATTTTGTGGGATGTGGGCAATGCTGGTTGGGCCAGCATTTATAGCCCATCCCCGTTGCCGTTGAGATAGTGGTGACCTGCCTTTTTGAACCGCTGCAGTCCACCTGCAGTGGTATGATCCACAATGCCATTAGGGAAGGAATTCCAGGATTTTAACCCAGCAACCATGAAGGAATGGTGATATCTTTCCAAGTCAGGATGGTGAGTGGCTTGGAGGGGAATTTTATGGTGGTGGTGTTCCCATGTATGTGCTGCCCTTGTGTTTCTAGGTGGAAGTGGTCATGGGTTTGGAATGTGCTCTCTGAGGATCTTGGGTGAATTTCTGTAGTGCATCTTGTAGATAGTAGCAGCAGTGTGTACTGAGTGTGGATGGTGGAGGGAGTGGACACAGTGCCAATCAAGTGGTCTGCTTTGTCCTGGATGGTATCCAGTGTCTTGAGTGTTGTTGGAGCTCCAGTCATCCTGGCAAGTGGGGAGTATTCGATCACACTCCTGACTTGTGCCTTGGAGATGGTGGATGGGCTTTTGGGAGTCGGGTGAGTTACTTGCTGCAGTATTCCTAGCCTCTGATCTGCTGTTGTAGCCACTACGTTTATGTGGTGAGTCCAGTTGAGTTTCTGATCAATGATAACTCCCAGGATGTTGATAGTGGGGGATTCAGTGATGGTAACACCACTGAATATCATGGGGTGGTAGTTAGATTGTTTGTTTCTTATTTGTGATGCTCATAGTCTGCCATTTGTGTGGTACAAATGTTACTTGACACTTGTCAACCCAAGAGTGAATATTGTCCAGATCTTGTTGCATTTGGGCACGGACTGCATCAGTGTCTGAGTCATCGCAAATGGTGCTGAACATTGTGCATTCGTCAGCAACATCCCTACTCCTGACCTTATGATGGAGGGAAGGTCATTGATGAAGCAGCTGAAGATGGTTGGGCGTAGGATAGTACCCTGAGGAACTCCTGCAGAGATGTCCTGGAGCTGAGATGATTGACCTCCAACAACCACAGCCATCTTCCTACGTTCTAGTTATGCCTTCATCTGCTGGAGAGTTTGCTCCCTGATACCCATTGATTCCAATTTTGCTAGGGCTCCTTGATGCCACACTCAGTCAAAAGCAGCCTTGATGTCACGGGCTGTCACTCTCACCTCACGTCTGGAATTCAGCTCTTTTGTCCATGTTTGAACTAAGGCTATAATGAGGTCAGGAGCTGAGTGGCCCTGGTGGAACCCAAACTGGGCTTCGCTGAGCAAGTGCTGCTTGATAGCACTGTTGATGACCCGTTCCATTACTTTGCTGATGATCAAAAGTAGATTGATGGAACAGTAATTGGCCAGGTTGGATTTGTCCTGCTTTTTATGTACAGGATGTACTTGAGCAATATTCCACATTGTCAGCTAGATGCTAGTGTTGTAACTATACTGGAACAGCTTGATTAGGGGAACAGCAAGTCCTGGAGCACAAGTCTTCAGTACTGTTCGTGGAATGTTGTCAGGGCCTGTAGCCTTTGCAGTATCCAGTGCGTCTAACTGTTTCTTGATATCACGTGGTGTGAATTAAATTGACTGAAGACTGGTATCTGTAATGCTGGGGAACTAGTGGAGGAGGCAGAGATGGATGATCCAGTTGGCACTTCTGGCTGAAGATTGATGTGAAAGCTTCAGCTTTATCTTTTGCACAAATGTGCTGGGCTCTTCCATCATTGAGGATGGGGATATTTGTGGAGCTGCCTCCCAGTGAGTTGTTTAATCGTCCACCACCATTCACGACTTGATGTGGCAGGACTGCAGAGCTTAGATCTGATCCATTTATTGTGGAATTGCTTAGCCCTTAGCATGCTGTTTGGCATGCATGTGGTCCTGTTGGTGACTTCACCAGGTTGACCCCTCATCTTTGTTTGCCTGGTACTGCTCCTGGCATGCCCTCCTGCACACTCTACTGAACCAAGGTTGATCCCCTGGCTTGATGGTAATGGTTAAGTGGTGGGTATGCTGGGCCACGAAGGTTACAGATTGTGCTGCAGTTAATGGCCCACAACACCTCATGATGCCCACACTTGAATTGCTACATCTGTGCGAAGTCTGTGCGATTTAGTGCCACACAACATGATGGAGGTTATTCTCAATGTGAAGGCGGTACTTCGTCTCCACAAGGACTGTGCGGTGGTTGCTCTTACCGATACTGTCATGGACAGATGCACCTGCAGCTGGCAGATGGGTACAGTTGAGGTCAACACAGTATGGAGCTGGAGGAACACAGCAAGCCAGGCAGCATCGGAGGAGGAAAGTTGACATTTCGGGTCAGATTCTGAGGAAGGGTCCAAACCCAAAATGTCAACTTTCCTGCTCCTCCGATGCTGCCTGGCCTGTTGTGTTCCAGCTCCATACTTTGTTTTCTGAGACTCCAGCGCCAGCAGTTATTGCTATCCCCCAAAGTTGAGGTCAAGTATGTTTTTCCCTCTTGTTGGTTCCCTTACCACCTGCCAAAAACCCAGTCGAGCAGCTATGTCCTTTAGGACTCAACCAGCTCAATCAGCAGCGCTGCTGCCAAGCCACTTTTGGTGGTGGACGTTGAAATCCCCCACCCAGAGCACATTTTGTGCGGTTGCCATCCTTGGTGCTTCCTCTAAATGGTGTTTAACGTGGAGGAGTACCGATTTCATCAGCCGAGGGAGGGCAGTACGTGGTAATCAGCAGGAGGTTTCCTTGACCATCTTTGACTTGAAGCCATAAGACTTAATGGGGTCCAGAGTCAATGTGAAGACTTCCAGGGCAACACCATTCTGACTGTATACCACTGTGCCGCCACCTCTGCTGGATCTGTCCTGCCGGTTAGACAGGACATATCCTGGGATGGTGATGCGGGTGTCTGGGATATTCTCTGTAAGGTATGATTCTGTGAATATGGCTATATCAGACAGTTGGTTAACTAGTCTGTGAGACAGCTCTCCCAGTTTTGGCACTAGCCTCCAGATGTTAGTGAGGAGGACTTTGTAGGGTCAACAGAGCTCTTTCTGCCATTGTCTTTTCTGGTGCCTAGGTCGATGCTAGGTGATCCATCTACTTTCATTTCTTTGAGACTTCGTAGCAATTGGTACACTGAATGGCTTGCTAGGCCATTTCAGAGGGCAATTGAGAATCAACCACATTGCAATTGGAGTCACATTTAGGCCAGACAAGGTGAGAATGGCAGATTTCCTTCCCTGAATGACATTAGTGAACGAGATGGGTTTTTTTCGGACAATCATTTTCTAATCCTCAGATTCTTAGTTCCAGGTTTTTAAAATTTACTTTTGAAGTCACTTCCACTATCTGCCGTGGCAGGATTTGAACCTGGGTCTCTGGATTAATAGTTTAGCGATAATACCACTACGCCTTCGCCTACCTTTCGACTGTTGCCGAATTAATATTTTGTCCTCCCACTATCCTTTGCCAAACCCAATTGGGAGAGCTGTCTCACAGACTAGTCAAGCAACTGCGTGATGTAGCAGTATTCACACAATCATAGCTTACAGAGAATATCCCAGACACGACTATCACCATGCCTGGATATGTCCTGTCTCACCAGCAGGACAGACTCAGCAGATGTGCCTAATCCTGGAACTTTATTTGTGATCTGGGTAGGTAAGTGTTTTTAATGATAATTCAAAATTTGGGGCGGCATGGTGGCTTAGTGGTTAGCACTGCTGCCTCACAGAGCCAGGGCCCTGGGTTCAATTCTAGCCTCGGGCAACTATGTGGAGTTTGCACATTCTCCCTGTGTCTGTGTGGATTTCTTCCAGGTGCTCCGGTTTCCTCCCACAGTCCAAAGATGTGCTGGCTAGGTGGATTGGCCATGCTAAATTGCCTGTAGTGTTCAGGGATGCTTAGAATAGGGGGATGGTTCTGGGTGGGGTGCTCTGAGGGTCGGTGTGGACTTGTTGGGCTGAAGGGCCTGTTTCCATGCTGTAGAGATTCTATAAAAAAAACTGTACAGTAAATATTCTAGATTTGACTTTAATGCATTTTCAGATTCTAACTACAAACTTTGTAATGTTTGCAACGAAACAATATACGTCTTCCACTGTCTTGGCAACCTTTCTTGTGAAATGAAAGGCAAACAGGCCCTATGAGGGAATGTTACACTTTTAGGGATGCTGTCTTTTGGATAAGACATTTAATGAGGTTCTCTTGACACAATCAAGTACATGTAAAGCATCCTTTAGCAATATTTAACAGAATGACAGTTATCTCTAATGTCCAGCTATGTTTATCCCACAATCAATAGAACTGAAAACAAACTATCCAGTATTATAATATGTAATCCAGTAATTATAAGTTTGTTAGGAGCTTTCCTGTATGCAGCATGGCTGCTGTTACCTACATTACAAATATCTACACTTGAACATTACTGTATTGGCTGTATTGCACTTCAGAATGTTCTGATGACAAAACTGTTACCTCTCCTTTTTAATCTTGCAATTGGTGCCAGTTCCTGTAAGCCATTAGTTTTATTCCTCCCATTCTTCTGTTGGCAGCTGCACAAACCTGCATTCCAACTTTTTCCTGGCACTTTTATCAGTGTCATGTCAGATTACCATCTCCCATTCACCCATATATCAAGCATTGTTGGAAGAATGCCTACAGACATTCTGAATCCAATTTTGAACCTTAAATTGCAAGCACTTCTCAAATTACATTTGACATTTCTAAATTGAACCTTTTAAAAGTGATCACTTAATTTTCGATGTATTTAAATTCAAATTTCTGTCTCAGTAATATTTGGATGTTTTTAAATTTTACTCATGGTTTTTCCCCCCTATACCGGCAGTAAAATTACCTTCCCTTCTGCTATTACTATCTAAACTCATCCTACCTACAATTTGAATTTCATTCAACTAATAGTCAAATGGAAAAGTCAAATTAATTGATCACCTCTTCCATCCCCTGTGGGATAATACACTAATCCAGACTACTGCTTGTACTATAGAGAGTTCAGAGTTAATTTTCATGTCAATTTTTCTTGGGCATTCATCTCATTGAGAACTAGCTCAAGGAATGCAAAAATTGCGTACTGTAACAGACCATGAAAGTCTAGGCTTACTTTACTCTTGTTCACTGAAGATCAGATTGTTTGTTTATATATTGATGGGTGTTGCAGTGGTGTCTAGATTTTTCATCTATAAGGGAAGTGTACTGATTTTCTTGCATTAAAAGGTCATTGGTGGTTTGCCTTTGTTCAAAACAAAAGTGTTGCTCCACAACACTGCCACTACAGATGTAAAATAGTTTAATAATTAAAATCATTGCAAGCACAGGTTACATACCTACTGTGCACTGACTTGTCTCAGTTTCAAATTAAGGTGATCAGCAAACATACTACCCAAGATTCTTATCCTTTGGTCAGCTACAGTGTATAGAAGTTTTTGCCCTGTCTTTCCTTCTGTCTTCATGTTCATTTTTCAAAAAAAAATTCCTTCATGGGATGTGGGCGTCACTGGCCAAGCCAGGATTTACTACTCATCTCTACTGACCACTGGGCAATTTAAGTGTCAACTACATTGCTGTGTGGCAGGAGTCACGCGTAGGCTAGACCAGGTAAAGACAACAGTATTCCTCCCTAAAGGACGTTAGTAAATCAGTGGATTTTTCTGACAATTGAAAATGGTTTTGAGATATTTATTGATTTCAAATTCCACCATCTGCCATGGCAGGTTTCAAACCCAGGTCCCCAGAACATTATCAGGGTCTCTGGATTAATAGTCTAGCGATAAGACCACTAGGCCATCACCTCACCTCTTATTGCTATCAATCATTTATCATTTCGATGAAGTACATTCGACTGGGTAGACGTGGAAATGGGGATTAAGGAGCCGGAAATGAATAATCATTCATGAAGCAAATGTGGGAGTGATATTAGTTAGAAGATATCTAGTGGATTTTATGTTGTTGCCTCCCTATGCCTTCAAAATTCTTGCATGGTCCACATTAATGAATGTAATCCACAAATAGACACTGGTAGACCAATTTGAGACTTGTCTGTGCTGGTATAGTAGTTATTTGAATTAAAAGAAATAACTGAACATACCACTATTTAAAATGTGCCCATGTATTTATTGCAGAAAGCAAGAAGAACTTGTACAACAGGTGCGGAAGAAGTTGGAGGAGGCACTGATGGCTGATATGCTAGCACATGCTGAGGAATCTGGAAAGGAGTCAGATATAGCACAAGACAAAGAAGAGGATGTATAGCCAAGGTACCTTGAGGATGAGCAGAATCTTGGTATTTATCCAATTCCTGTGAATTTAATATGTTAATATGTTATTGTTTTTCCACCAACCACATGCATCACAATATGCAATTTTCATTCAGCATTCTCCATTCCTTGGTGGAGTTGAATCAAGTTGGTTGGGAAAGCGACATAATGGCTGACAGAACCAGTTACACACTTGTTATCAGGTATAACATGAAATTATGTCATGCTGCATACAAGTTTCCTCTACCCTGGAATACATTTGGTGAATCTAACAATTTTATATTTACAACCTAATTTATGATTAGATACCTTCAATTTACGAATTTTGTTCCTGAATTAGTACAGTTGATTGTTATTTTTTAAAATCAGTTTCTTATGGTTTGCTTACCCTCTGTCTTTCCTTGCTCAATATCTGTTTCAGTTGACAAGAGTTACAGATTTAGCTGCATCATGCCAAGTTGCACTATGTTGACTTCAGGCCAAATGAAGGGTTTGAATTGCTGCATGTCACAGGCTTTCTTGCCTGTTCTTCATACAATGCCTAGAATTAGTCAGGATAATTTTAATAAAGCATGTGGTTTATAGTCTTCTACATGGCCAGACACACCAATTCCTCAAGTACCTACATTAGACTATCTAAACAGAGTGACTAGATATATGTCTAGACAGCCATTCTCTACGGCCCAGCAATTCAGTCTGTCAGATAGCTTTCCTGCTTTTTATTTGCCGCCTTTTTCGAACTACAGCAAGGTCTTCAACACAAACAGCTTAACAGAAGAGTTAACATCTAAGAGCATCTTAAAGTAATTGTCAGGATGGAGCAAAAAGGCTGTTTCTCCATTGCTTTCCACGTATGCAGATTCAAACATCCTTTTGTAGATTTGATGTGAGTTCAACATTCACATACTAACATGAAGGAAAGGCTTAAGGCAATAACACTGTTTCGGTCCTTTCAGCTTATGTCCTGATGACTGCCCTGGTGTGGTCAATTTCCATTTGGACTGAGCAGTACTGGCATCCCTGTTTCATATTTTCAGTCTTGACTTGAGAATTATGCTATGTATTTTGCTAACACTTAGAACAGAGGTTTCCAAAATGAGTAACTGGGGTTATGACCTCCAAGGGCTGCAGTGGCAGCTATGGAGTACAGACTTCTTGTTTGGATTGTGCACTATGGCCAAGACAATGAGCTCCAGAGTCGAATTGCCAGATGATAGGTGCCTTAGTTGTTTAGTTTTATGTCCTTACCATCCTTCACGCTACCACCACCCCATCCCACAGACAGTTCACACTTGATACCACAAGTCTTACTGTACAACGTCAGTAAGATATAAATGGTTATTCCCATTCATCTCTTCATAATTGATATAAATGTATGGCCCAAGAATAATCCAGTAACCTAAAGCATAGCTCTCATCTTTTGATGTGGGGTTGAATCTGTCTTGCTACTTTTCTAACTGCTAATGTTTTAAGTTTGAGTTTACAAGGGTGATTTTTTTTTTATATATTAAATTCACTCATCTAGTGTATGTTGGTGGTTTCAGGATCCAGAAAAATGAAACTGCACCACCCTGTACCACAGTGTTTATATTGGATAGGGATAACAAGAGGGAGAAAAAGTTGTAATAAATTGTTCTCCTTCATACTGGCCTGTCTTTTATAAGATGCATTATATTTTGTCGTGTCATATTTTTAACATGTCCTTTTAAATGAATGAGCACCTGACACAATGTTAAGTTGCTAGGTTTTTGTACATTTATAGGCTGTTGGAGAACTTTATTCTACCTCTGACGTGAGTTTGTAATTTGTTGAGGCCAAATATGGTTTGCTGTTTTATGTTTTTGGGCAGTCAGGGAACCCATTTTGCAATGTTTCTGGTCAAGCATTTTGAAATATTTTGAGATAACATACGTTAAGTGCTCATTCTATAGATATGTTGTAGAATATACTCGTATCCAAAAAATGCATTGGCATATAACTGTCCTGTAGACATCTGACACCCAAGTCTGAATCTAGATCAGTCAGGAAATATTCAGTTTGGACAGACCACTCCTGAGCTAGGTTACAGGTATGTCATTTCACAACTGGTAACTTGTTCAATGCCTTAGCAGAGAAGCTTGATGCTTGTCCACAGCAATGTGTGTAATGCTTTTGTCTGCAATATGATTTTCATTTGTTTTCTTGACAGGAGATTATTAGAATCCAATTTTTTCAGGGAAGTGTGGACATAAAGATGAGTGAAAATATTCATAAGGATGAGAATCACTGAATAATTGTATCATTTGGAATTTCTGCATCCAAACTGGTTTATAATATGTTTGTAGAACTACTTTTCCAGTTTAAAAATAAAAGTGCTTTTTGTCAGATGGAAACGGTCATTGTGATGGGCATGTAGACCATTGCCAGTAATCATTTTTAAACTTGAAGTTTGTTTTTATATGCTCACATTTTTTAAAGCTATGTAAAATACTGTAAAATTTGATATGTGCAAGTTGTCTGTTGGTAGATATATTCTTTTGTTTGTGGTTTAATCGTGAAATAAGCATACATACATCTTTGACGAGCACCAGAGAATGAATCCAATATTTCTAGTTTTGTATGTTGCGTTTCTAGACCATTGCATTCTTGATCCTGTAATGAGGCAAACTGCATTCATGCACGTTCTGTGGAAAATTGTTTTGAAAGTGTTTTATAATGCATGTTTCCAATTCTTTCCCACCTTCAGTATGTGTACATTATGTGTAGTGAAAGCAAACTGTAAAAGCTGGAATAGCTTGTTAATAAAATCTATTTACTAAATTTTTTCTATTGGTAATGTTTTGCAAGTGAGCTGATACACCGTGAGATTAGATTATAGAATCATTTTACTGTACTTCTGTAATCTCTGTTTGGATTCAGCTGCAAGCCCACAATTACAAAAGACCATGAACCGTTATCATGGTTTGGGATTTCTTTTAATCCCATTTTAATCTATTGGAAGATATTTGGGAGTTAATATTTGAAGTGTTAAAAATGCCTCTTAGGTTTAAAAGGTCACTGAAACAAAGACCACAGTTAATGGATCGTGTATTGAAACTAGACTAGCTAATATTCAGACATTTGTGCTCAAGTTCTGCAGTTAGTTTAAATCAAGGCCAGATTTGATAGCTCTTATTTGCATGTCTGGAAATGCAAACAGCTTAACAATTTGTATCTTGACTTACTTCACAAAGTGTTTGAGTGAACGTTGGGAAAGATGAAATGAGAATGTATGCAAAAGATGATATCCAGTTTAGACCACAAGGGTATTTTGTTGTTGCAAACCTAAGTTACAGGAAAGGTGGACCAGCATTTATAGCCTTTCACCACCTTAAGTTGCAAACGTTAAGTACTTTTCAAGAATAGTCAAGTTTTTACTAAGGCAGACAACCTGGCAGCTGGTATGTGTTCAGCAGGGATCCACTAACAGAAAAATGGTAATGACCAGTTAATCAGTTGTTCAAGTTGTTTAAACAGAACTCTGGGGCAAGGTCCCTTGTTGCTCTTCAAAATGCCATGCACTTACATACACTCGGTGAAATCACATCTAAAAGGTGCACCTCTGACAGTACAGCATTCTCCTAGTACACAGCTCTGGAGAATCAGCCTAGATTTTATGCTCTGGTCTCTGGAGCAGAGCATGAGCCCATCGCCTCAAGCACATTCCTGAATGAATGCAAAATGTTTGGACCACTTACAACAGTCACCACTGAAATTGCTGCATGTATATCTAATGCAGGTCCAAAACTTGAATGATGACGTTAACCTGAAATAATCATCCTGTCTTATCAACCTACCAGTTCTGTAAATTAAAGCTGTATGAAATTTCAGGATTTTTCATGTAATATTTTCTTTTCATGCTAAAATCTTCCAGTTTGCAACATTGAGCAAATAGCTTGCTTTAACGTCCCTGAGTGAATCCTATATGGTCATTTAGCCACCGATCTTCCTTCCCTCTGAATGCCTAGCCTTCACTTAATAGTTTATCTGGTCACAATTGTACTGATGTTTGATTTCTGAATGTGTCCTTTGTTTCCTCCTGAAGCACATAGTGCTATTCGAGTACTTATAGTCTTGTGGTACTTGATACCCGTGCTTGTGTGGATGAGAACAGAATTTGTTTATGCTTTCGTGTTTTGTGACTGCATACAAGGCTGTGTTGCTGACATCTGAGATTTGCGAACAAAATTGGCATTTCCACTAGTTGAAAACTAGTAATTCCCAAATAAGGACATGTGAGTTTAACTAATGGATTTGGATTTGAATTTCAGATTAGACATCCAGTGCTCTCTTACTGGATTTGCCTTTTTTTTTTCAGAATACCCCTGAAGTATTGAATCTGTTAATTTTCACAATTATTGTCTAGATGAATAAGCATATGAATTGCTAAAAGCTCTGCTGCTGATAGGCTAATTGCTAAGAAGACCTTTTAGGAGTGGCTGAGTGAGTATAAAAAGATGCAGGGAAATGTGATAGAATTAGAGTAGATAGCAATTTAAACCTTTGCTAATATAAGCAGATTAACCCAAATTGTTATTTCCATAGTGTGACTCCTATAAGAGCATAACTCCAATCATATCAGGGAAGAGAGAATGTACGTTCCCCTTGACCTGCCGCAGATGCGTCTAATAAATACCTATCCATGAATGATCTACGTTCCAGCTTGTCACTTTTAATTCGTTTACTACTATGGAAAAGTGATCAAAAAAATCCTGAAATAATTTAATTCAACTATTGTAAATTTAAGGTAAGTTTTGGGAGAGTTTCCTGTCTCTTGATTAGATTGCTGCGCAATGATTGGGGTTTAAATAGAATTCCCAGATCCTTGCTAATGGCATTATTGAAATTACTACTTGAATCGTTTTACTAATGTTACTGGATCATTTTGTAGGAGCTTCAGAACTTGCCGGCCCTTGTCACAGAGAAGTATGCTGACTGAGAATTAGGTTAAATTCTTGAACACCACATGCACTAACATTTGCTCTGTCCACCAATGCACTGGTAACAATGTGTATCACTTGTGAGATGCACTGCAGAAATTCACTAAGACTCCTTAGTACCTTCTAAACCCATGACCATCACCATAAAGAAGGACAAGCAGCAGATACATGGAAACACCACTGACTGCAAGTTTCCCTTCATTTGGGAACATATCACCATTCCTTCAGAGTCGCTAGGTAAAAATGCTGGAACTCCATCCCTCAATAATTGTGGGTGTACCTACAGTAAATACACAAGTTCAAAAGGGTACCTTGCCACCACATTCCAAGGGCAATTCGGGATGACCAATAAATGCTGGCCAAGCCTGCAAAGTCTACATTCCCTAAATTAATTTTTCTTTTAAAAAAAAAAGCATAAACATCATGCCATGGCAAAATATATTTCCTTCTAAATTTGACTTGAAGCGAATTTGGTAAAGAATGGCGTCACGGTTTATTGAATGTGTATGTTGCACTATACAGCCTAATTTATAATAATTTGCACTTTTTTTAAAATCTGTTGGATCAAAATAATAACTGATCTTGGTAGTCTTAGGTGAGGAGTAAGTGAGGGTAATATCGGTTGAGCTTTCTGTAGCTAACTGATAAATTGTGATTAAGTATAGTGTGCACTACATTACAAATTTACAGAATGTTTACATCATTTAATTCAATTTTTCATAGAAATTACAGCAGAAATTCAGATTTATTGCTAATCTTTCAACTAGATCTTTGTACTATGATATAATCTTTTTTTTTCTGTGCATTAGTTTACATTCTTTTCAAATACTTAATCAAATTTGATTAAGGAACAATTGAAAATTATTGTTGCAGGACTATATAAAAGGATATGTCAATGAAAATACCAATTTTGTAGTGATAACCACTATGGTAAACCTTTTGTGGCAACAAGTTGCTTGCCTCATTGTGCAGTGAACAATGAAAGCCCTGTTGAAAGTTGTGTGAATATTTGGGAAAGGACAGGATCAAGCTAACCAGTGAATGATTGACTCATTCCTACACTTGTTAAACTCAAATAAACTGAGATTTCGGAGTAGTTTGAGGTACCATCGTAACAAGCGTTGACTTCGAGAGAGGATGGGTAAAGGAAGAATGTTTTAGGAGAAATTGTTAGAGGTTGAAAAAGCACCTAGTTTAAAAACTCAATCATTGCAGAAATTATTTAATTTGTCTATCACGAAAGAAAATAGTTTGTCATACAGTCATTATAGTGTCTTGGTGTTCATTTTTGTCAGAAATTACTGCACCTCGTGTTTTGTGTAACTTAATTCCAAAGCCAGTAACTTTATTTTTCACATACTTCTACAATTCTGATTTTACCATTTCAGGTTACAATTTCCTTATTTAGTACAAATAAAATGATTTTACATCTGTAAACATGATTTGTGCATTGTTGGGAAGAATGCTATTAAAATAAAGTTTCATTGAATACCAAGAAAAATCTAAAAACTAGGCCAACTTTTTTTTAAACCAACACTCCCTTTTTTTTGTAATGGAAAATGCAATTTTCCAAATAGAACCTCGTGAATATTTACCTTTTTGTTCATTAATTTGTGTTTATGTATTAGTTTGAAGCAGGCGAGATCACTCTGTAGTCTTGTATCTTTTGTAGAGCTAGAAGAGAAAACTACATTCTCTGATATTTACTTCCATGGCAATATCTTCTCATTGTGCTGCAACTTTTTAAATCTCTGTAGATTGGTGAAATGTTATATAGATCTATGAGTATTATTCCAATAGAAAAAATTACTTATAGATGAAGTAGTTAGAATTCTATAATAATTAGGGAGAATATGACATTCTTAGGGCCCTCAGCAACTACTGAGTAAGTTGGCATGAAATTAATGAGAAATTGTTATATAAACTCATTAAAATGTTTATCACTGAGAACTCCTGGATATAACTTCTGCATTTGGATATTCTAATTTTGTTACAGCAGCTATACATCATAATTTTAATCATTTGTTATTGTCTTTTGAAAGCATATCATCTTTCTCAACAATCAATAATTCAAATATTAAGCATGGCAAAGGTGCCACCCTAACCATTGAAAGTTTTCCCTCCATAAAGGGGAGACTTTGTTTTCAGACTTTCTGTACTGGTCATGCCTTTCATGGTCCTGGCAAGGCATACCGTTCCAACTCACCTTTTAGATGTTTTTTAATCAACCTGTTCAGATAAGCCATGACACACGTAGAGGAGGTGGGAGTTGAACTTGGGCACTTAGACTCAGAGGTAGGGGTGATACCACTGCGCCACAGCAGCCCCAGATACCCACCAAATTAAGCCCAGCAACTGTGTCCTTCAGGACTCAGCTAATTCCTAGTAATGCTAATGCATTTGTGGACATTGAAGTCTGCCATCTGTTATATTTTGTGCACCCTGGGTTTCAGTAGTGTTTCCTTGAATTAAGATTCAGTTTGAAATACTTAGAGAACTGATTGTAATCAGCAGGTTTATTTTGCTCTATTTGACTGTAAACCATGGGACACCTACAGTCAAAAGTTGTGAACACCCAATACTGAGCCACCTAAGCTGTACATGGCAGTGCCCCAATTCTGGCTTTTCTCTTGCACTAGTCAGCACAGGACATATTCACAAATGGTATTGGAGATTATCAAGATGTTGGTCAATAAACATAATGGAGTACAACTCTCAAGCTGCTACTTGAATTCTCTGGAACAGCTCTCCCAACTATGACATCAATCCCTAGATGTTACTGAGAAATACTTTACAACATGTAATTAATAACTATGATAACTTTAGTAATAATCTTATTGA